AGTAGCAACACGATCATCCTGCATATTTCATTTCAGTGTTGAAGATTAAACTGCCATGATGCTAAAAGAGTCAGAGATAAGGAAATTCAATCCATTAAAGAGGTCACAAAAGGATAAGTGGGGGTTCCAAAATAAGAAAGTCCTAGTGAAGCTTCAAAAGCAAGAAATGAATTCCTCAAAGAGGGAACAAAATAAGCTTGAAAGAACTTAATACTTACAACAGTAGGACAATAGAATAAGTGGATAAGAATGCCTAAAAGATAAACAGAATGCATAGCTAGAGCAATTGACATGTTTCGATACAAAATTAGTCAAGTTGGGAATTCAATGGAGAACCATTGTTAGAAAACAAACAAAGGAAACACAAAGTCAAGAGTGACTTACAGTGCAAGGGACATATAAGTCATTAAGAATTTCCGGCCAAGTTGGGACATGTCCCGCTCTTACTGGAGCTTTAAAAGGCCATGCACGGCCAAACATTCTTTTTCTGACAGGAAGAGGCCTTTCTGTCTCACCTAGTTTACGAAAGCTCATGGGCAATCTTGAGTTACCAGTGGTAATTGCACTAGGTTCTTTGCTGTGGTAACACGGTTCAAGAATGTCATAGACATTTAGATCATTAACTACCTGCAATAGGCGAAAAGGTAAATTGGGATCAATAAAGCAGACCAAGAAATTGCTGTCTCGACGAAATGTATCAACTATGACAGAACAACACCTTACCTGTTCAATTCTATCAAGCTTGTCTAAACAATTACTACCCACTGGTTCGTAGAAATTTCCATGGCATGCACGAACAGCTTCCTGAGCATGAAATAGAATAATCAGAGACCATTTGCTAATAGACAAAGAGGCGACGATTATGTTTTTGCTGATATATTGGAGTGGTAGATATATACACATAGCTTAACATTTGTTTTGTAACATCTTTTTTTGGCAGATTAGAATTGATCACTATCTTCTGGCAATTTCATCTATGTTTGACAAACCTTCTCATATGTACTAGAAGCTAGTAAGGCTCCAATATCTGTTATGCTACAATAATTTGGAGCATGTCCTAATTAAAAGCATTAGATGCTTCAAAGCATCATCTTTTGCCAGCTATGACTTCTAGAAATCTAAAACAGATTGAGAAGTCAAATGATTCAAGCACTAAAAAATCAAACAAGAAGAAGCAAATACCTCATATAAGTCATCTGAAATAAGGCCCATACCATGTTGAAATGGAACAAGAGCATTAGCATCTATTTTCTCATCTGTCACACCATTTCCCACCATGTAGCCCTGTGTGCAATAGAACGTTAAGAGTTAACAGCCCAGACAACTAGTTAACACGTGAAATCTTGAAATAATATATACCTTAAAGTTGATAGCGGGTGTTACTCCAGCATCAATACCTAAAACACATAAGCAGAAGAAAGTTAGTTTGTTTGGCCCACCACACCAACCAATGCATGTTCATTTAAGATCCATATTACCTTTTACTACTTCGTAAGACAAAGTTGGCACATATATTCCTGCATAAGACTCTCCAGATATGTAAAATGGGTTCGTGAGGAACTCTGGGTAGATCTCAAACCACTAGAAAGAGCATCATTTAGTAGAACAACAAATGAGTTAGGACACAGCATAAAACTAGAAACTTTAACAATCAACTCAAGGTTATGTAATATTACCTTGAGGAGAAACAAATGGGTATCAGATGCAGTCTTCAAGTCTCCTGTCTCGTATTCAGATTTATTTTTCGAGTAAGATAATCCAACACCAACAGGAGAATCCAGATATATTACACTGGAAACCTGGAAAAATCAAATCATAATGAGTGCCTAATGAAATGCAAGCATATGATCAAGTAGAATTAAAACAAATAATAACCTTGGACCAACTGTATGGATTGTTATGCAGAGAAGGCAGGCTAGTACTTGGCTTTCCCAACTCATAATTAAAAGGTCCTGCAATGTAAAGAAATACCCTTCCTTATTATAAAAAAAACAACAAAAAGCTATGTAAATGAAATCCTTTGTTTATGATGAATAAGAATAGCAACTGCATCTCTATGGACTACATTTCCAATTAACATCTTTTACTTGAGCTGGTTAAAAGAATTTTCAAATCTGTCAAGGAAGAAATCAACATTTTTATGTCAATTGCAGAGACTGTCAAAAACACAGTTTTGGTTGACCAATTATCTATGTAAAAGATTAAAAAGTTCTCAACTTTTATACATTGAATGTGTTTGAAAAAAAAACATTTTTACACTAGCAGATCACTTAAAAGATAACTACAAGTATGAGTTAGAAAAGGGCAATCCGTTGCACGAAACATCTCACTTTAGCAGGGTTTGTACTCTAATGCAGGCATTAGTGGTTGCTTCCATAAAAAGCGAGACGACTAACATGAAGAATAAGAGAGGATATCAACTACAAAATGCAAAGACTCTTTAACCTATAGATAAACCAAACGTGCTATTAGTCCTCACTCTATGTACAACTATAAAACAAAAGGAGATCTACATCTACTATTAAAAAAAAAATTCAACCTTGTACATATAATGTAATTTTACAACAGAAGGGTTGTTACCATGCTCATAGACAAATCCATCAAAGCTTGAACAACCAGGTCCACCATTAAGCCAAAGAACAACTGGATCATTTGATGGGTCTCTTTCAGATTCAACAAAGTAATAATACAAATTCTTGCCATGACTTTCATCTATATTAACATACCTGAAACCCCATTTTCAAGAAACATTCAGAAAAGTAAAAAAATCAAGATAAAGTTGAGATCTTTTTATCAAAAAACACAAAAAGAATACAAACCCAGCATAATGTTTTGAGTGAAAAGTGCCATTGAAGCCAGGGATTTGAGTTACCAGTGCACTCTGAGGTGCCCCTTCTGTTACCAAAAACAAAAATGTCAACAAACTGGCAATTAACAGTAACTCATAATGTAAAATAAAGTTTTTTCTTGCCATGTTTGGTATATCAAGATTCTGAAATTTTTTGATGGGTTTTTATAGTTTGAGAAAATAATTAAACTGTATCATCATACTAATAAGTTAAAAGTAGTCCATCAAATTTTTTTTTGCTTATAAGTCAAGATTGGGAAAACTAACAGAATATAAGGTTTTCAAAATACAGTAAATTAGTTATTGTATGATTTTTACTCAATTTAAAATACTGTAAATTAGTTATGGTATGATTTTTACTCAATTTTTTTTTTAGGTTGTTTTTAATTTTAATTTTTCATGTGACATATTTAAGATCATAAAATTAAAAAATATTTTGATAATTTGATATAATTTTACTATACAACTATAAAATTAAAAATATTTTATTTTAAATTCTATTTTAAATTAAATTAATTCACTCTTTTTTAAACGAATAAAATATATTATAATTGAATTTATCGAACCAAGAAAGATAATACTATAAATGAACTCACATGCTTAGGCTGGTATGACTTTTCTAACGGAAAATACTTTGTTATTTAATCATTGTTTTTGTTGAAACATTTTATGGAATTTGTTATTCTATATAAGTAGCTTTATATCTATTCTAAGTCCCAGCTAGAATTACATTTTTGAATAAATTATACAATATATATATATATATATAGTAAGTTCCTAACCTACTAGAAAAATGATAAATTCCGTTTATATTATTATTTATTGATTTTATTGATGCTTTCAAAATAATATAATAAATAAATTTTATAATTAATTAAGTATAAATTATTTTTTACTATTTTATTTTAATCTTAATATCTTTTGGAAAAATCTCATATATCACAAATTAAGAAATATATTTATATATTTTATGTCTAATTAAATTGCAATTATTGATGCCACACATTTTCATATAATACAAGCTCCCACCTACTATCCTTTTTTCTTTTTTTTTTAAAAAAAGCAAAAAGCTCATTTTGCTGTTAGATTATTAATTTATTGGAAGTCTGATAAAAAGGGTGACTGTACATACCACATCAAATCATTTTTTTTGTAACAATTCCACTAAACAAAATATTTTAAAGTTATGATAGGTAGATATTATTATTATTATTATTATTACATATTATTACCGATATTTGACCTAATCAAGTTGGTATGAATTATCTCAGCTCCAATCATGAAGGATAGCTACGAGAAATCAATTTCAAGTCTCTGAAAAATTTCGATTATGCTTAATCATCATAATATTCATAATCGATATTGAAGATAAATAGAGAAGTTCAATTACAATCATTATTGATTCGCCTTATAATTTTTTGAAAATATTTTATTTTTGTTCATTTATAGTACGTAAATAAAAGAAATTTCAGAGCAGATAACAAGGTTGATTAAAACCAATGTTATAACAATAGTATCCATTATACAACTAATTTTTGTGTAATTCATAACAATAAGATTACTTAAAAGTATACACATATATATATTTGTAGAAAAATATTACATATCACACGCCATTGCATGCACGATGTGCCACACCTGTTTTAATATTGTTACTTATGAATCACATTAACAAATTCTATCTTTATTTGTAGCTATTTTTTCTAATATTGTACGAATAATCTCTTTACGTTAGCACACGAAATTGTTTAGCTTTTTGTGGTTTTAGTTTACCCCTGCTTATTCAACGTGACAACGACAATAAATGATATTCCTTTCGTCCTATTTTATATGACTTTTTTTTATTTCAAGATTCAAATAAGTTTATCCAGTACATTTTTCATAGATATTTTGAACATTTTGAATTATCAATGACTTATAGTACTTTTTACTTAGTTTACAAATATATGAATTTCATTTTCAAAAGATTGAAAATTTCATGCACAAATTTTTCAGTCAAACTTAAATTATTTGACTCTCGAAAATTAGAAAGTGTCACGATAGAGGGATAATAAATCTTCCTTCTAATTTTTATGAGATAGAGATATTGTTTTCGATTAACGTTGTGTTCAAATACTTGTTGATGAGCTTAAATAAGTGTGGGAGATGAATATTGGAGTGAAATAATTAATATGAGCATGCATGCCTTAACAGTCAAAAGGTACATTAGATAACATACAATTACTAATTTCTTATTGCAGACAGAAATTGATGATAAAAATCCAATATTATCATAGAAAAATCTCTGAAATAATTGGACTTAATGTCTTCTAATTCAGTCTTCATTATTCATTTATATTATTGTTGCCCTCTAGCCACTCTTCCAATTCAATCTTCATATTATCATATCTTCTTGCCCTCTAACCAGCGAGAGTAGAACGCCAACGCCTCTCGTGGTTTGTATTCTGGCACGGTATGTCCAGCTCCCTGAACATATCCGAAATCAATTTAGATCAAAGAAAGGAAAAAAAAACAGAAAAATGAATGTTTTTCTTGATATGAACATTACCTTAATAGTCATAAAAATGAGGTTGTTGGCATAACCTTGTATGAAACTGCACAAAAAAGATTTAAGCATTTGAAATGGATATTGCAGAATTGCAATACATTTGAGAAGTTAAAGAGGTTTAGAAGGTGAAAACGCGAACATACCCTGCAACTTGGTCATTCACATACCAAGGCCTCCATTCATCCACGATCGGATATCCAAGAGATTTTGTCCATACTGCTGAACCAGTGAATGGAACACACATATCGTGATCTCCACTGCAAAAAAACAAAAAAAATGAACATATATAATCGTTCTGGTTATAGCATCAAAGAGACCATCTTGGATAATCAGTGTGTCATCAGGTTCTATGAGTATCTATAGTGGAAGAACATGTTATAGTTGCTTTGATAGAAAAAATATCACAATTCAAATTTTGAAGTTAGAGACTTAGTAATCTGTTGAACCTGAATATGATTGCCCGATAGCCCCGAGCTGTGAGATTTTTGTGATATGGAATCATGCTTCCAGAATCATGATCCAGATCTATTTTGTCTGTGCATAGCTCCCAGGGACCTATCACAGTTGCCTGTTGTACCATACGATTTTGGAACGAATGAATCACCAACTCTATTTTTTTTATTAAAGGTAAAGATGAGAAAATTGTATCTTACTGGTTCAGCATGAATAGCTTTACGAACATCTGCATTGTTGAGCCACAGTGTAGCAACACGATCATCCTGCATATTTCATTTCAGATTATAATGTGTCTGTTGAAGATTAAACCGGCATGATCCTAAATGAAATAGAGATAAGGAAATTCACTCCATTAAAGAGAGTACAAAATAAGCAGAACTTAAAATTTACAACAGTTGGGACAATAGATCGTATGCTTAAAAGATAAACAGGATGCATAGCTAGCTAGAGTAATCGACACGTTTTGATATAAAATTAGTTAAGTTGGGAATTCAATGGAGAACCATTAGAGAACAAACAAAACATCAAGAGTGACTTACTGTGCAAGGGACTTCTACACTATTGAGAATCTCCGGCCAAGTTGGGACATGTCCCGCTCTTACTGGGGCTTTATAAGGCCATGCACGGCCAAACATTCTTTTTCTGACAGGAAGAGGCCTTTCTGTCTCACCTAGTTTACGAAAGCTCATAGGCAATCTTGAGTTACCAGTGGTAATTACACTAGGTTTTTTGCTGTGGTAACATGGTTCTAGAATGTCATAAACGTTTAGATCATAAACTACCTGCAATAGGCAAACAGGTGTATTTGGGTTAATCAAGCATAGCAATGAAATGCTGTTCAAGTATGACAGAATAATTAACACCTTACCTGATCAATTTTATTAAGCTTTTCTGAACAATTACTATCCACTGGTTCGTAGAAATTTCCATGGCATGCAACAACAGCTTCCTGAGCATGAAATAGAACAATCAGAGACCAGTTGCTAATAGACAAAGAGGCAATGATCATATTTTTCTGATATATTGGAGTGGTAAATGTATACACACAGCTTAACATTTGTTTTGTAACATCTTTTTGGCGGATTATAATTGACCACTAATTTGCCAGCTATATATTACTTCCAGAAATAAAAGAACAGTTTGAGAAGTCAAATGATTCAAGCACTAAAAAACCATACAAGAAGAAGAAAATACCTCATATAAGTCATCTGAAATGAGGCCCATACCATGTTGAAATGGAACAATAGCATTACCGTCTATTATATCATCTGCCACGCCATTTCCCACCATGTAACCCTGTGAGCAATAGAACGTAAAGAGTTTACAGCCCAAACAACTAGTTAATTAACACGTGAAAATCTTGAAATGTACTATACCATAAAGTTGATAGCTGGCCTTACTCCAGCATCAATACCTAAAAGACAGAGGTAGCAGAAAGTTAGTTTGCTTATCCCCTGCCCTAGCAGTAGGAACAACCAATACATGATTACCTTTTACTACTTCAGAAGCCAGAGTTGGTACGTATATTCCAGCATAAGACTCTCCAGATATGTAAAATGGGTTCTTGAGGAATTCCGGGTAGATCTCAAACCACTAGAAAGAGAGAGAGAGAGAGAGTATCATTTAGTTGAACGATGAACGAGTTAGAAGGACAAAGAAATAAATGAATTTTATTATACGGAACAACTATAAAACTTATAACTCCACCGGTATGCACTGCTCACATTGTAGTAGGTTGATTGCTAGCGTAAAACTAGTAAATTTAAGTATGGAATCAAGTTTATGTAGTTACCTTGAGGAGAAATGAGTGGCTATCAGATGCAGTCTTTAAGTCTCCTGTATTATAGTCAGATTTATTTCCCGAGTAAGATAATCCAACACCAACAGGAGAGTCCAGATATATTATATTGGAAACCTGGAAGAATCAAATCATAATGAGTGGCTAATGAAATGTAAGCATATGATAAAAGTAAAATTAACACAAATAATAACCTTAGACCAACTGTATGGATTGTTGTGCAGAGAAGGCAGGCTACCACTTGGCTTTCCAAAATCAAAATTAAAAGGCCCTGCAATGTAAACAAATACCCTTCCTTTTATAAGTAAAAAACAACAAATATGATGAATAAGAATGGCAATTGCATCACTATGGTACGACATTTCCACATCCCCATGTTAGCAGGGTTCGGTAGGGATGTGATGTAGACAGTCTACTCTAATACAAACATTAATGTCTGCTTCCACAAAAAAAAATGGAACTACTAACATGAATTATAAGGGAGGGTATCAACTACAACATGTGAAAAAACATTGATAATGTAAAGATTCTTTACCCTAAAGATTAACCAAACGCGCTATTAGTCCGTCACTCTGTTTGAAACAGGGGTGGAGACAGAATTTTCACAAAAGGGGATCTTCATCTACTATATGTATTTAAATAGAATTCAACCTCGTACATATAATGTAATTTTTCAAACGAAGGGGTTATTACGTACCATGCTCATAGACAAATCCATCAAAGCTTGAACAACCAGGTCCACCATTAAGCCAAAGAACAACTGGATCCTTTGATGGATTTCTTTCAGATTCAACAAAGTAGTAATACAAATTTTTCCCATGACTTTCATCTATATTAACATACCTGAAAACCCCATTTCAAGAAACATTCAGAAAAATACAAAAATCAATATAAAGTTTACATCTTTTTATCAAAAAGAATACAAACCCAGCATAATGTTTTGAGTTAAAAGTGCCATTGAAGCCAGGTAGTTGAGTTACCAGTGCACTCTGAGGTGCCCCTTCTGTTAACAAAAACAAAAATGCCAACAAAGAAATTAACAGTAGATTATAGTGTAAAACAAAGTTTTTTTTTGCCATGTTTGGTATATGAAGATTCTGAATTTTTCATGGTTTTTTATAGAATCATACTAACAACTAGTCCATCAACTATTGCTTCTAAGCCAAGATTAGGAGAAAGTGACAGAAGATAAGGTTTTCAAAATATAGTTAGAGTCTGTTTGGCAATACTGTTGTTAGGAAAACCACTTATTTTAAGAAAAAAAAGTATTTTTTAGTAAAGAAATTAAGCTAGTCTTTGGGCCATTTTTTAAATATTTTTAGCAAATATTATGAAATTTTACTATGTGTTTGGTGATAGTATTTGAAAAATATATTTCACTTTTTCAAAAATATATGATTTATATTTAGTTTTAAAAACTATCAGTAACCATAAGTTTGTATTACAAGCAGGGGCGGACCTACCCTTTACCATAGGGGTGCACGTGCAACCGGTAACTTTCGAAAAAAGCATATGTATAGATGTATATTTATTTTGAAAAACTGGTAGAAACTAAGATATAGTTAACAGTGCACCCATAAAAAACATAAAAGTGCTCTTGTGCAATAGGCAGAAGGTAGGGTGCACCTAAAACCTTTAAATCCTGGATTCGCCTTTGATTACAAGAAAATTCGAACTTGTTGCAATAAATAACAATGTCGTAGTTTGGAGTGAGTACAACAATCATCACTCAATACATCGTGAAATAAACAAAGCATATGATTTTGTTACCCTGAGCCGATTGTTCATCATTTTCATCAACAATCATATCATCACTTTCATATTCACGGAATATTTGATCACTACTATGATGTTCAAGTAAAAAAAATATGTAATACAACGCAAACACTATTACATAAGGTGCTTTGTAAAAAATAAAAGTTTGATGTAAAATTTCAAGTTTCAAAAGATCCCAGATAATGAGATTTGACCCAAAATACTAGAAAAAACTAATATTTGAGAATTTGAGATATTTGTCAAATTATGAAAAAATGTATGGACAAAAACTATTTGCCAAATCTTTCCGCAAATAATATGGGTCACAAGGGATTGTTTGGTTATTGTATAAGAGACATCTTACACATGTATTAAAAGTTGTATTAGTTTTACTATGTTTCGTAGAAGTTTTGTGTTAGATATAAAAGTCAACATAACTTATACCATATTTGGTTGGTAAGAATTTAAATGTTGTATAAAAGTTATTCATGTATTAATTGATACGATATTTGGTTGCATTTTTTTATAGTCTAACATAATTAATATCAACATAGCTTATGAGAGAATCTATATATAAAGTTATGCAAGATAGAAGGTGAAATATGTGAATATTAGTTATACATGTATTAAAATGATAAATTACAGATTTACCCTATTAATTTTTTTTTAATGGGTAACTTTATTATTTTCCTATATATATTTGTTGTTTTTATTTCTTTTAATATATAGATCATTTTCATTTCTTTTAATTTTTTAAAATAAAACTTTATTGTTTCCCTACTATATATAGACTATTTTTATTTCTTTTTATATACTTATAGTATTTTTTTTATTTATTTATGCAAATATAAATATTTTTTTAATATTAAAAATTTGATTGTATATTTTTGACGGTACATGTGTTAATCAAGTATAACATTATATTCCACGTTTTATTAGCATGTATTAGTAATATTTTGTAAATAATATATATTAATGATTTACAACAAGTTTAATATTCAATAGTTAATCATTCATATATTGTAATCTCTACACAACTAAATAATGCCTACATAATTAATATCTGAATAACTAATACCCACATAATTAAACTCAACATAACTAAACTCTGTATAACTAATACATGCATAAATAAATCATGCATAACTAATACATGTATAACTAAACCATGCATAACTAAATACCTGCATAATTTCAATAAGTAACCAAACGGCTCCTAAGTGTTTAATAAATCACTAAAACTGTTTTTAAATAAAAATAGGAACATTTTTTTACGTAGCCGTATAGAAAGCTAAAAATTTTAGCCGTATAGAAAGCTAAAAACAATTTATAAATGTTTACCAATTTGTTTTTTATTAATTAATAGCATATCTAGTATGTTATTGTATAGCTTCCTATGTACTCTTTGATTCCGATGGAAAATCAAAATTAAAATTTTAAGTTTATAAGTTTGAATTTTTTTTAAAAAATAGTGTATTGAATAAACAAAACATATGGTATTTATGATTTTTAAAGATAAATATAAAGTAGGAACCAAGCATCCCTAACATATAAGCAAAATCGTAATTTCATTCCTATTTTTCTCCATTCAATTCATTCTTTATTTAGTATTGCATTACTCACTTCATTTTATTTACGTGATACTATTATTTATTGACTTTATTGGAAATAATACTATAAACATGTTTTATATTTGACAATCTTCCAAATTTTAGCCTTTTTTTTGTTTATTTTTAAAAATCTCACGACATCTTAATAGGATAAATTATTTTTAAAAAAAATAATTATTTGCAATTATTGATGCTATATTTGTTTTATAGTGAAAAACCTCCCACCTACGATCCCTTTTTCATTTTCTTTTTTTAAGCAAAAAGCTTATTTTGCTTATTTAGATTATAAATTTATTCATAAGTATAATAAAGAGAGACGAGTCAACAAAATATATGGTTTAGAGTAAAATAAAATATATTCAAAAAATTGTTAAGTTTATTTTTATGAAGTCTATATAATGATAAGATATATAAGAGAAACTTCATCTAACATTCATCTAATAATAAAAGCTCAATATATAATATGTGTTAAATGCATGTTATGAATTCTGAATCAATGTAGACAATAGTACGAGTTTGAAGGAGAGAGAAATCGAGTTTTAAATATTCTAAGTTGTGATTTATAATAATTTTAATTAATTTTTAAATAATATATATTTTTATCTTTCTTTCAATTTATGTGACACATGTGAAATTTCAAAAATTAACCACGTTTTGATATGTTTTTCAAATATTTGAAGTTGTTAATTATTGTAATTTATAATACTCTTAGTGTAATTATCAAATAATATATGTTACTCCTACAATCTCAATTATACAACACAGATGAAATTATTAAAGTTAACCATTTTTTATTTTTTTTTGATATTCTAACTTAACTTTAGTACTATTTTTTATAATTACATAACACATAAAAAAATTTATCTTAAATTAATTAAAATATGAAAAGAAGTAGTTTGTTATACTTTCCACGTAGTTTAATCATCAAAATAGAAAATTTATCATATAATAAAGTGAAAGAGTTTAATAAAATATAACCATTCAATATTTCTTCCTTTTCCATTCTTTTACTAATATACTTTTATATCATCAAAGTGCGTATATGAATTGTTAGGGACTTCGTAATAATAAAAATATGAAAAGAAGGATTAAATTCAAACTCTTTCCCATAAAAAAATAATTTGTTAGTGCTAAACAAAACAAAAATAATCCAAGTCATTAGTGTAAAACAGAAAAAACAAAATAAAAATGGTTCAAATCGTAAGTGGTCAGTAAGAAAAAAAAACAAAAAAAATGGTCCAAGTTTTACGAAAGTGCTCGAAAAGAATAAGATAACAAAAATGGTCCAAATCGTAAGTGCTCAACCAAAAAAAATGATAAAAGTTGTAAGTATTCAAACAAAAACATATGAATATCTCAAAAAATATATATAAATTCACCTAAATTTAATAATTTAAATATCAATTTATACGTAAAAACTTATCAAAATATAATAAAAATTGAATTTATATATAACGTTAATAATTATGAACTCAATACTAAAATTTAAAAAATTAAATAATATAAAATTTAAATTCTGAATAAAGATGTATGTAAAGTAGATGAATCTTATTAATGAACTTATGACACATGTTAAAAATCTAAATTGGTCCTAAAATATAAAAGGAACATGGCCAAAAAGGAATGGCACCACATAAAGTTAATGTAGATGTCATGCCACAAAATTGGGATATCCAATAATAATAAAAACAAGAATAACAATAAACAACAACTAATCAAAACACACATTTAAAATGTGCTTAATATATCGTTCACTTCTTAAATTGTTATCTTTTTAAGAGATAACATCTAAAAAGTATGTGGAGCACATTGATCATTTTAAAAAATTATCTCCAAATTTACTTTTAGATTTTTTAACAATTTAAAAAGAAAATTAAAAATATATTTCATTTAGAACAATTCAAAATTGTAATTGAAGTTATGTTTTTTCATAATTTTGAGATAAAAACATATTTAAAAGTATAATTTTATTTTTATATCTGAACTATTGAAAGCGTGAGTTTCATACTTAAATTATCACTTATTAGTTTGAGAAACGCATTTTAATGGTGAGTGTAATGCACTCTCTCTTTCTCTTAAAGAGTATGACTACGGCTTGTCAATACACACATCAAATTCTTAGTTTTTGATTTCTCACTCTCAAATCAATTCCCACGAATCCATCATTTTTTTCTAGCAAGGGTAGACTCCTCTCGCACGCAAAGACATTACATATCGTTTTAAGCAGAGATTTTGAACCCATTAGATTCATTAAATTCGACGCTGAAGATATTATTTTATTCTTTAAAGTACTAAATTAGATATTATTTTATTTATTTAAAAAAAATCCACTCCGCCTAACCTTTCGCATTCAATTTTTTCCCAGTTTTATGTTAGATATATACATATTAAAAATACTTTTACATATCGCCTCAAGACTCTTTATAAAATAAAATTTTTATTATATTATATTATATTCGGTAGTAGAAAAAAATCCTAAAAATATATGCACATATCTATTTAGTATTTCTGTAATCTTTTAATTTTTAATTAATATTAATAGTTTATTAATAAGAGCATGCATGACTCAACAGACACAAGGTACATTGGATAACATACAAATACTAATTCCTTATTGCAAACAGAAATTGATGATAAAAATCCAATATTATCATAGAAAAATCTCTGAAATAATTGGACTTAATGTCTTCTAATTCAATCTTCATTATTCATATTATTGTTGCCCTCTAGCCACTCTTCCAATTCAATCTTCATATTATCAT